CTCATCACCACCTTCTACAAGGATCATCCTGATTAGAGGATTTGAATCGCCTTGAGGCAATTGTTGAGGAGGAGGTACTGAGGCATAGTGTTTTCACCTCCTGCCTCCCTGAATGGACACAGCGCTGATTCATCTCACTTGCAAAGGATTTGGCTCATTAACTCCCAGGCTTCTTAAGGCTGCTTTGAGGATCTGCTTGTCGTTGAAGCATCGCCTCTGTTTGGGTATGAGCTCAGCCTGCTTACCCGTCTCTTGTTATCAGAGTAACCTTACCTTTGTCTTTTTTGTACCCATGTGTTTCCAGACGGTGAAAGCTCAGACCTTGCCTAAACAGCCTGAAGACCTTGAGCCACTCACCTGGATTTCCATGCGCTGCCAGTTTGCCTCTAACGTCACTGTAAATATAAACTCACCTGTGAATACTCATCTTTGGATCCTGACCCTTGGACCAACTCCTCCACGCCTCATCACCTACCTGCACCTGTAAGAACCACTTTCAATTACCTACCTGCAAATCTTCCTMTGGATTATCATCAAGATACTCACCTCTGCAAATCCCCTGCTTCCAGGTCCTGATCCCCTCACCTGCACATGTAAAATTAAAAGACTTGGCTTTTACATTGTTTCAGTCTCTGCTTGTCATTTATACTTGCTCACGTTGACCTTAAAATCTGGGAATCCTGATAAGTTTTGCTTTTGCTCACATCAAACTTTTGCAAACTCCTCCTAGGTATTTTGACCTATCGGCCTCAAATTTGGTCAGTGCACTGTTAAAGTTATCAAAATGGTGAGTTTTTGAGAATGTTTAGGGGGCATGGCCAGGTCTCAAAGTTGATCTTCTCACCAACGTTTTCGAAAAGCTGTAATTTTCACATAGAAGGTCAGATTTAAACCAAACTCACTGATAGTCATCCATGTATGATGCCCGAAGATATTATGTGGTCATATGCTGACATCATCATAGCCCCGCCCTCTGAGAACAGGAAGTGACCTTTTTTGCTTGGAAAGGTCCATCTCTGATCATCTTGACCCAGTCAACATGAAATCGTGTCAGAACACAGAAAACATGCTGGTCTGACTTGGTTTCAAACACGAAGACTGGAAGGTGTGGACGCTTTTAAGGTTGAATTTACCTGAAACACTTCAAACTGATGAAGTCTCTTGAAGAAAAGACAAAACTTTTTCAACAAAGACAAACTCATTCAGAGAACCCACTCAACTTTTTTAGCAAGCCCATGACAAAACCACAATGGCAGAAGGTGGCAAGGAGCAGCTTGTTCCTTAACGAGATTCAAATTCTGTTGAATGGAACAAGTTTGGCTTTGTGGGGCTTGAGCAGATTTGGGCTGTTTGTAAGATTTGCAACTGCAAAGTGATAACAACTCACAGTAACACTAAGAACTTGTTTAATCACCTGAAACAGTGCCACAAACTGGAGTATGAGGAAAGCCAGAAGATGCAGATGGAGGCCAGAAGTCTGCTACAGAGAACTAATTTTTTGACAAAAAACTTTCTTCTTCACACTTTCTTCTTCACAAACATATGATCAGTGTTTTCAAAATAAATAAATAAACAAATGCGACAGCACTTGTGTGCAATCACTCGCATTCAAATACATACAAATTCATAGACACGAATGACAACACACGCATAACGGCCTCCTGCGAGGTGTCTAAATAAAAATCCACTGAACTCACCGGATGTGCATCACTGGTTGTCATGGCCACTAAGAAATGTTCTTTAGTGTTGCCAAGGCAACAGCTCGGGGAACTCTTTGGCAGCCCGTCATGCATCTTGGGAGAAAACAGTGGTCAAACGATGATGATTATACATTTGTTTTGTTGTTGCAGCACGAGTGTGACCATGCATATGAAGGGTTTGACAGCTTGTAGTGATTTGAGGACGTGAACTGAGTGCATGAATGAATCAGCTCTAGAGAGGAAGGAACCCTGGAAGAGTAACATGAAAAAGTGACGTAGCAAAGGATTTGTTTACTTTTTAAATGTAAGGGGAAAGAGAAACACACACACCTACACACATCTAATCTTTGGCTTTTTTCGGAGTGTGTGTTTGAGTATTACAAGACAGAGTAATAAATCAGCATGTTTGTGTGTTTGAGAGCAATATAAAAGTGACTGCCATTCAAAATGACGCAAACTGGCAAGGGGAAGAAAAAGTAGGACTTGGTTACCATGGCGATGCAATCAGCTTTTAGTCGAGGCTCTCGTCTCCTGAGTGCGATCAACATTAAATGCTACCTGCATAACAAACACAGTGTGCATGAATAAATATAGTATGTTACTGGAAATGACTTTATGGGCTTTTCACTGTGAATATCCACACCTGAATCATCTTCTTTCATGTATTTTCCCCGGTTTTCCTCTCGTTCTCCTTTTTGTCTGTTTTTTTCCCTCCCTCTTCCTCCTGCCCTATATTAATACTCTAATCTAGTCCAGTCTGACTTCTTGTCTGACTCTAGTAATCTTGCCAGGACAGATGGCCCCGACGGACACGCACATACACTTTCTATCTGATACACATTCACTCCACATTTGCTCTTTCGGTGACCCAGATCAGCCTGAAACTCACATTGCGTCACGTTTTCCCCAGAACTTGTAGCCGTCCCAGCCCTGCACCGCTGCAATCCCGCTGGGTGACCCAATCATGTGACCTGCTGAAGGACGGGCTGCTGGCAACCAACAGGTCAGCAGCAACATTTCAATGCGAGTATGAATTTTTTCTCCTCGTGTGGCTTGAGATATTTATGAACATTTATTTGTCAAGATAGCAACTGGTTAACTAGATGTTTACGATTGATTTTGTAGTGAAATTCAATCCATCATACACTTATTTTCCCCCACTCACACATATTGAGGGAGTCAGTGTTTGTTGATGATTCCTCTAAAATTCTAGTCAAGTGTTGCTTTTCTCATAACCATGATGAGTAAAATCAAGTCCCACTCAAAAAGCAGAACCTACATTGGTTTTATCTTTTTAGTGCCACAAAGAACTTCACTATTTTTATTAAAACCTCTGAAGTTCTTCTTGTAATATGCAGATGAACATGTCATTAGGATCAATGTCTCAACTTGTTCAAAGGACAAACAGTTTTGGAATTTGTGTTAAAGCAGTAGCCAGGTCAACTTTGACGTGATGTTCAGTTTAATCGTCATCAATAGTTGGAACTTTACCAGCAATGACATCAGTCATGCAGCTTGGAGAAAGACGTAAAGTCTTAGTCCACATAAGGCTATTCAAATGAAGGCAAGATTTAAAAAAGAAACTTCATTAGCTAATAATAAACCAATACAATTTAGAATGACACTAGAACGCACCTGCACCTCTCAGCAGGTATTTTGTTCCACTCCTCATGAGCAAACTGCTCCAGTTGTCTCAGGTTTGAAGGTGCCTTTTCCAGATGGCATGTTTCAGCTCCTTCCAAAGATGCTCAATAGGATTTCGGTCAGAGTCATACAAGGCCACTTCAGAATAGTCCAATGTTTTCCTCTTAGCCATTCTTGGCTGCTTTTAGCTGTTTTGGGTCATTATCCTGTTGAAGACCCATGGCCTGTGACTGAGACAAAGCTTTCTGACACTGGGCAGCACATTTTTCTCTAGAATCCTTGATAGTCTTGAGCTTACATTGTACCCTGCACAGATTCAAGACCCCCTGTGACAGATACAGCAAAGCAGCCCCAGAACATCACAGACCTCCTCCATGTTTCACAGTAGAGACAGTGATCTTTTCTTGATATGCTGTGTTTTTCTGTCTGTGAACACATCTGATGACACACTTTGGTCTCATTATTTTCAGGGTTACCATCATTTCTGTTCCAGGCCTGTTCCATGAGTTTTATTAAAAAAAAATGTTGAAGCATGGTTGAATAGAAATGTCTGGCTTTCATTTGTTAATTTTCATAGAATTTTTATTTATTTTTAAGTTTGTCAGATTCAAGTTATTTCTGTGACCATTGTGGGTTTTCTTTCATTAAAGTACCAACAATTTTGTCCCTGTGTAGTGTATATGTCAGTGGTGCAGAGGCTGCTGAATGCATCAGCTGGCCAAGAGATAAGTGAACATTTGACTGACTAGATGCACGAATCAAGTCTTCAACTTTCTGTATGTTGTAGCTCTTCTTTCTGTACTTTGTAGAGAGCTTTAGGGTGTCCTTTTTTACATGGTTGCAAAAAAAAAAGGAAAACAAAAACAAATGTGTGAGTCCTTTTTCAAATAAAAGTGATGACCACCTGTAACTAAAGGGTCCTGATTACTCCAGGCGAAGTGACAAAGTTAGCTCATGCTTATGTGCTTGCAAGACATTCATTGTCGCCTTTCATACTTACAACACCTTTGAATATCCACACCTCACACCTCACAGCATGATTCTCCTTTACTTCATCCAAGCTCAGATAGAGTGCCACACTATTAGCACAACATCTGTGCTATCTCCATCGAGGTGTTTTTGGCCATTGTACTATCTGCATGAGGTTAAAAAGTTATCTGGAAGAGTCATATTTATGGATGTACTTTCTGGCTGCCTCAGCCAACTGATACTCAGAACACTCCACGTTTCTTAAACACAGCAGTCAGCTTCTGGAAGTGAAATAGTTGAAGCAAAATGCCACCATTGCTGTTTGAGCGCTTCTCTGCATGAAAAGAAAACACACCCACAAACTTTTGGCCAATCGCACGTTACTTTGCGTATACTCCTGTGGGGAAAAACTTTGGCCTGGGCCTTGTGTGCAAGGCCGGATTAACCATATGGGCAATTGGGCAATTGCCCAGGGGCCCACAGTCTCCAAAGGGCCCTGGGCAGTGAAGGCACGGACAGAACGGATGCGGGATATGCGTGGACATGTCTCCCCGCACTTCCTGCATCTGCGCTCTCTGTCACCGCACTTTTTTCAGCCGTAACAGCTGTTTTATCCATTATTAACATATGGTAATGCATTTTTCTGAGCCATCTTTGAACGTACCATAAGCGTGAGCATGCTACTCCTGCAGATGAGATAACGGATAGGAGATGCTGTGCTGAGCAGAGCCTCGCGGTGTAAAGAGCAACTAAAACTTGGCACAGTTTTTACCAAACAAACCATGTAAGTTGAGTCATGCTGTTGGAGGCAGATAATATTAGCTAAATGATGAGTTACACATTATATAATGTTTAGCTAGTTAACATGATTAGTTGTTACCTGTTACATCCCTTGCCAAGCTAGTTTATTAACGCTAGATAAACCCAGTCGTCTTTCATTTCTGTGCAGAAGTTGTGCTGGCTGCTTTCCACATACAGTATTTAAAATAAATCTTCATTACCACAGTTACAAAGAACAAGGTCAGGGAGGAGACAGACCAGATAGCCTACAGCAGCAGGGATCATAATGCAGACTTTCCTCAGGTAAGGAGAAATTATGACTATTATTCTTGAAGTGGAACAGTCTTTTAAAACTGGTGTATAGTTTGAAGTCTCTATTTTTGACATAATTTGTAACAGAGTCTSAGAGAATTAACCACAGAAAGACGGAGATTAAATCACGACTGGATCACATGTTGGTGTTGAGAAACCAGACAGGTATCAGGACAGGGTTTTCATAGATATTTCAAAAGGACCATTCATACTCCAAAATATTATTTATTTTATTATTGTTTCTACTTTGGTCCAAAATAAATCTAGAATTTATAATATTTTCTTATTTACCAGTAGTTTAAAAAGAGATGATTGATAGTCTTAGTTCAAAAGTAAAAACTGACATGGATGTTTAAAGATGTAGTTTCATTTTTGTTTATTATATAGATGTATGACATTTTTGTTTATTATTTATTTTCATATATTACTTGACTACTGCATTATTTGTGTTCTTAATGACAGCAGGTATGGGTCATACAAATTTTCTTTATTTTTCTTAGTTTTGCATATCTTTGCGGTCACATTTACTAAAATGTTAATGTGTTTAGTGTTGTGTCACTTTCTATGTAAATGTCATTCTTTGTCTTATGAGCCTACATCGAGTTAAGTAATAATTTGCTAACAAGGAGGAATATATAACAACTGGAGTGCTCAGAAACCACCTGACCGTGTGATCGGCTGGAGAAGCTAACGCTAAATGGTCAAGACTGGATTTCCCATTACTGTACATGTTGACAACAGAGCAGAAAAAAGGACTGACCATGTAGAAATCATTAAAACTATTAATAATAA